GGAACTCCTTTGCAACAAGGAGTCGCGGTCAAGTCAAACACCATCCAAAAGACATGATGAGCAGCTCTTTCAGCAGCTCCAGGGCAGGCCAGAAGCTGGCAAAGGTATTAAATTTGACAGCCAGTTATAATGAGCTCTATTAGAAATGCAAACGGTCCAATTTCTCCTCTCCACAATTACCAGTAGCAGGTAACAACACACTCCTGTCGCAGGCACACGTAACGCCGAGCAGCGACCGACAAAGAAGGCTGAAATGTATTCTCACACCAGGCCCGGGATCACTCGCCTCTATCAAGAATAAATGAGGCTCATGCTTCAGCAGAAGCCAAGCAAACTGAGGCTTGGTATCAAGCCAAAAATAATATTAAGCGCTGTTAAAAAAATACGCCTTTGGGGTGGGTCTGGAAGTGGACTTTACTTTTGCCTCTCTTAATCGTGGATGAAGACGGAGAGAGGCATCACCGGGTGGTTTATTGGGTTTGGTCCGACAAGAACCATAGAATCATAGAATGATTTGAGTTTGGAGGGACCTTAAAGATCATCAAGTTCCAACCCCCCTGCCCTGGGCAGGGACACCTCCCACAAGACCAGGTTGTTCCAAGCCCCCTCCAACCTGCCCTTGAACCCCTCCAGGGATGGGGCAGCCACAGCTTCTCTGGGCAACCCGTTCCAGTGTCTCACCACCCTCACAGGAAAGAATTTCTTCCTAATATCTAATCTTAATTTCCCCTCTTCCAATTTAAAACCGTTACCCAAGAACCTCATCTTGTTATCCCAAACTCCCCACTACAAGGAGCTCTCCTGTGACCTGGGAAGTTAAAAGATTTGGGATTCCCTAAACCTTCAGAGCTCGTGCACCATGACTTCTCTACGTCCTGCACCCTCTCCCGTGCCAAACACCGAAATCGGAGCTGCCTCCTTTCCCCCACACACCGGGCAGCCCTGCACACCCACCCTCTGCCCTCCCCGCAGACCTAAGGGACAGTCTCTGCTCAGCCCCAGCCTTCAAGCACCCGGCATTCACTTTGCTCAACATCTTCAAAGCCCTTCAGATGGCTAGGGAAGTCTTGCAAAATGCCTGGAAGCACAAGCAATCACAAGGCTCGGGAGCCAGAGCCCTTCACTTTTTGTGCCAGGCGGTACAGATGCAGCCAGATAAAAAATCACATGGTCAGTTCAGGGCAAAACGGGGCTGGAAAGAAGGAGAGTCCTCATCATCAAACCCTTCCCAAGTACAGAAACATTGGACCTTGCACTCTTCATGCCTGCTCTTCAAGGCCTCATGAGAGTGACACAACACCCCTGCCATCGCCGTCACCCCTCTTCCCAGCAGAAACGGGGGTGCCCAGCTGCTGGGGGTGCAGCGAGGTGCCCAGAGAAATCCCACCTGCCTTGGCCACCGCACAAAGAGGCCCAACAGCACAGCGGCCGCAGGGACCACATCTATTTGTTCTTCCAGCTGCCACCTCTCTTAAAAGGGACGGTATTTTTCAGCAAGACACCGGCTGCCTGTGACAAAGGGGTCGGTACCCAAAGCCACAAGTGATGCAGGGGTGTTATCCCCAGCCCAGGGCTGATAAACACACCTGCCCTCCTCCCTCTCCATGGGATGTCTGAGACACACACACACACACCCCCGACTTCAGACAACGTCCTGGGAAAAGGATGGAAAAGGAAAAACCCCTCTGTCCTCATCGTGGAGTCACACAAAGTACAAACTGCTGCTGAGAAACGATCTGAAAATGCCACTGAGCCAGCAGAAGCGTCGAGGAGCTCTGTGTGCATCCTGGAACAATTTTCTTTTGCACTTTCCCTGTTCTCTTTGGATGCTGGAAGAGAAAATGTGATTTAATGGGATGCACACAACACAGAGAGAAGGCACTGACCTCTGGTTTTAAATAATGAATGAGTCTATAAAGGAAAAGAACGAGCCTACAAAGACCAAGGGAGAATGGGATCTGTAGGGCAACAAGAAACAAGAACTTCCAACCACCTAATCTCAGATATCTGCACACTAACAGCAATGGTAACAGCATCTAAGCCCTCTGGGGTAAGAAAACGGGTACCAAGCACAAAGAAAAGGGCAAGTTTCCCTGTTTTTTCCCCTGGCAAGATCAGAGGGAGTTCACTGATCAGAGTACACAGCTGTTGCCTTGTTCCCTGTGAGACGAAGACTGTGCGTTGCACAACAGTTTTAACACAAATTGATTTTAAAGTGCTGTGGCCCGACGGTCCGGAGGCGAGAGCAGCGTCAGCGGGAGGAACCCATCGGAGCTGCGACACCGGGCAAGGGTTAGAGCCCCAGAAAACGAAACCACCCTCTGCCTTTCCACCCCCAAACCTGCACAGGGGAAAGAAGCACAAAACACAACTTCCCGGGTCTAATCTTCAAAGCAACCTTGATGTTTACACCTCATTTTAACGGCCTGAGAGCTTTTGTCAGAAGACAGAAGGGTTTCTGCAGCACACAGTACGCACCGCTCCGTTATTTTTCTTGGCCAGGAGAACTGAATGACAAAGCAGAATCGGGGAGCTCCCCCCTCGACAGCCACACCTGTGGGAAACACACCCCAACTTCCCCCCAAAAAGGAGGCACACGAGCCATCCCACTGCCTTGTTCTCCCACTGATGTTATTCCCAGGCTCCTCCAGGCTTTTCCCCAGCGCTAAAAACCGACGGCTTGATCTCAGGGGAGGAAAAGATAAACCTGCCACAGAGAGCACGACGGTTTTACTAATGGCTGGATTTCTGCTCCCAGCCAACCTCCTGCCCGCCTTGATTTTAAGAGTTTTGGGAAAATCTCTGCCCCTCAAAACTGCTTTGCGTTGTCCAGAGCCGTTTGCGTTCAGCACCTCAGAGGAGCTGCTCTTCACTGATGCACTGATGGAAATACCTTCAGCACCTCAGAGGAGCTGCTCTTCACTGCTTGGAAATACCTTTTTTGTTTGTTTTTTTTCCCTCTGTTTTTGTCTCTTGCAATTCATTTCAGCTGCTTTAGGAGGAGATGAACCTTCCCTCTCTCTAGCGAGGACACTTCACGCCCGTTGATGACTCGAAGGTGCTATCAGAGGAGCCCTTCAGAAGGCTCATTCCACGTAAAAAGCACCACTTGCCTGGAGATAACGAGATTGCACTCAAAATAGCGGCCCTCTGACCTTCTTTAGGAAAGCACCACAAGGAGCTAAAGCGAGCTGGCAGCTTGGCCGAGGGAGTTTGTTTGGGGACGGGTTAAGCAGCACCAGCCCTCCCAGGGCCATCTTCCAACTCCCACCAAAGTTCTGCAATACAAAAGTCCCTGAAGATTTTTGCGGCTGCAAAATAAATTCCAAGTGAGAACAAAGGTGCTTATCTAGAGGAGAACAGCTTCGCCCTGCGCACGACAACAACAGAGTAGGAGCCATCTTACTGCTCTCGGAAACAGAGGTCAGGAAATCTGGGTGTCTCACAACTTTTCAGATAATCTATGAAAAAACCACCAGAAGGTTCAGGTTTGCACCAAGGGGGCCCCTTCTCGGGGCTGTCAGTGGCCCAGTTCCCTCTCCAATCTCATCCCCACAATAAACCCTCCTCACACCGGGCCGCACAGCTCCCAGCAGGTGTTACACCCCCATTCGAAATGGCGCGAAACGTGACATTTAAGTCGCAAAAGACACCGCTCCTGATGATTTTGCGCGTCTCTCTCCAAACCGTGTGCCTCACGCGCCAGCAGAGGGGACGTCAACACGATGCCACCACGGGCAAAGGGACGAGCACAGGGCTGTTCCCCAGATACAAACACCAGGGTGGTGAAGAACAGCTTTTCCCTCCAGTTTTCGCTCTCCCTGACCCTGCAAAGATTATTTACAGAAGCTTTTCTGGGCTGCTCGTTCCTCTGGCTGCTTCTGGGGGGGAGGCGGCGCAGGGGTAGAGATGACAAGGGTGAGGACAGGGACTCATGGAGTGACTGCCGACCCCGGAGCATCCCCCCGGGCTTGGGATGGAGGAGACCTCGCAGGAAAACGGAGCCGGGTTCTTCTCGGCACCCTTCAACCTCCGGGAAGCACCGACGGCGACCGGGCAACCCCACGGCGGGGGGGGTCATGTAGGAGACACCGATTTCTTCTCTAAGGGCTTCGCAACCCCCACTTGATGCCCCATAAAACCGGTTTGTGCCCAGATCCCCGCGCTCCTGACGGGGGAACCGGGCCCGGTGACACAGCCCCCGCCCGGGGCCGGGCTCCCACCTTCGGGGCCGGGTTTGGGGGTGTCGGGAGAGGATAAATAAACCGAACGCCGGTCCGCAGAGCACCGGTAGAGGCGGACGCTGCGGGACGGGCCGGGGGTCGCAGCCGCGGCCCCGGCGGGAGGAGGCGGAGGGTCCCCACGCACTCCGCAGGCCGCGC